CGCACGCTCATTATTAAATCTTACTAATTCTTCATTAGAACAGATCACAATAGATTTGTCCAAACCCATGAAAATTCGTTTACAACACAATGTGCTGATGTGGTTGCAAAGTATGTACTTTATGGAATCTGACTGAACTAATCACTCCTCATTCTCGTCATCCTCGTCATTGCCGTCATTGCTGTCATTGTCGTCATTATGATAATTGTTCGTTTGTTATTTACATTTTAGGAATAGTCCGCGAGCAAGAACCAAGACGGAGAGAATCGTCGACGAGTTAGTAGAGTCGGCGCGACCCTTTCCTGTCGCAACCAGTCTCTACATAACGTTTTCAGCACTGCGATATTTAGGTATATAGTCAAAACGAAGTGAAGAGAAACGTATTCTGAGCCGTTTGTTATTTATGACACTAACCATGAATTTTTATGAGCTCCGCGTTAATAGCTATATAAAGTTCGTTCGCGCGTATTGAGCAATACACACATAACTTGAAGGTGCGAACCAATTACGTTGCATTTAGTATGTTATATGGTTAGTATTGTAATAAAATAATATAATAATTCAATTAAATATTCAGTAAATTTGGTAATACTTGAGGAGAACGGACGTGAATTTCAAAATTGTCGTTTGAGTTTTTGAGTAGTTTGAAGTAGGAGGAAAAGCCTTCAGATGAGCTTACATAGAACATACTTTTTATAATATCATAGAGAGATGCTGAGCACAATTTTAAAATTTGGCGAACTACATCCAATCGTCCAATCTTCTAAACGTCCAATCCATACGATTTGAACGTTTTTTTTATTGCTTAGATGGGTGGACGAGCTCACAGCCCACCTGGTTACTGGAGCCCAAAGACATCTACAACGTAAATGCGCCACCCACCTTGATATATAAGTTCTAAGGTTTTTTTTTTTTNGAGAGATGCTGAGCACAATTTTAAAATTTGGCGAACTACATCCAATCGTCCAATCTTCTAAACGTCCAATCCATACGATTTGAACGTTTTTTTTATTGCTTAGATGGGTGGACGAGCTCACAGCCCACCTGGTTACTGGAGCCCAAAGACATCTACAACGTAAATGCGCCACCCACCTTGATATATAAGTTCTAAGGTTTTTTTTTTTTATTGCTTAGATGGGTGGACGAGCTCACAGCCCACCTGGTGGTAAGTGGTTACTGGAGCCCATAGACATCTACAACGTAAATGCGCCACCCACCTTGAGATACAAGTTCTAAGGTCTCAGTATAGTTACAACGGCTGACCCACCCTTCAAACCGAAACGCATTACTGCTTCACCGCAGAAATAGGCAGGGTGGTGGTACCCACCCGTGCGGGCTCACGCGAAGTCCCACCACCAGTAATAAGCACGTACACAACAATAGTCGACCGTTCTGGACAGTGAACAGTCAGCCCCCGCTCGTATCCGCCGACACCAACATCACAATACCAACATCCATTAATCCTGACTTTGGCACGTTTGAGTCAACATGCTACTTGTGCAACAATTTTAAAATAATTAAATCACAAGCTTCCGTAACACAAACAAAATTTGTTAGTAATAATTGAACATTACATAAGTGATGTAGTTGTGACCTCTGCGAGCTTCAGCGGCTGCGGTGAATGCGCCGCGCATCATGGATCGACAGATGTTGGGGCCCAATTAAGTATTACGACCGAAACTCGAGTGTAGTAACATATAATCAATCTCTTAGTAATACTTTAATCTTGTGTTGCAACTATTGGCAACGCGGCCGCAGACGATTCGGCAATCCCGGCTAGGTGAAGTACCAGGCACCAGGATGGTGGCACCCATCCGAGGGAGCCTTCAATACGCCACCAGTTCTAAAATATATTCTAAGTTGTTACGAAATATGAGATTCAATAGGACTAGTGATGGATCGAGGTGCGTTTTCTGGCTGAGACCTAGAGATACTGTGATCTGTAACATATCTCTCTGACACTGTACTATCTCATGGCATCTCTTGTTGCTTGGAGACAGTTTGCTTATTCTTCACAATATAACAATATTCGTATCCTGGGTGTCCTGTGTATAGAACATTCTACCAAATGCTCTTTCTACTTTATTTTAAATGATCTAATTAATTTTCGCTGGTTAAGTACATATCACAGTATCGTGAGCTTCGTAGCTTGTAGATGATGTTGAAACCTTGTAAATATTGTAAGCACAATCACGTTATTAATACACGTAAGTATTTGGCAAATCAAAAAGCACAAAACTTCTCTGATATACCGTACTTAGGCTGAAGATCAGTCATACAGATAAATAAAATAATATAAAATAATAAAAAATCATAAAATAATATTATATAAAAAAGTCTTTGTGAATTTGACTTACTCGTAAATTTATGAAGTAGATACATAGACATTATATATAGATTATAGTTTTTAATGCTGTAAGAGAAACAAAAGGTACAACTATGCTTAAAGCTTGTATTTGTCAACATAAGGTAGACAAAGGAGTTGGTGTCAAGTTGGTGACAGTCTTATAAAAATAATCCAAGTCGACGTCATATTATATGTCATATAAAGCGCCACCGTCCACGGAAAGCGCCTCAACTGACTACTAAAGTATGCATGTGTATGTGGGTAGGTACAGAGGCGGGTGCGAGCGAGGGTCCCGCTCCCCCAGGACAGACCAGGTGTAGGGGTGCGCGTGTGTCCGGGCGCGCTGCCCCGTGCCGCGTGCACACCGCGCCTAACAGCACGGAGATGCGACGGACGGACACACAGAGACCACTCCTGGAGTCTAAATGTCTCAATAATTACTTAATCGAATCATATTATTATTGGACTTATGTAATTGTACAAAGAATGAGAACACACATCCAACAATCTCTTTTTTACAACTTCAGAAAACGACCGCTCGTTGAAATGGCCATTACTTGCGGTTTGTGTTGTTGTTGTTGTTTAATTGTCGGTCGGCTATATTTTATAAAGAAAACATGGACCATATTCAGTTAACTAGCGCTCTATTCAGATTAACAACTTTTCGGTAGCTATTAAACGTTTCTAAAGGATATAATTATTATCAATGGACGTTTAACAAGTAAGTAAGTCAGAAATCGATCGTAACTGTCCGATGAACTGATCTGAAACGTAAAAGTAAAAGTGTTGTCAAACGTGACTGAGAAATGTCGCGCCGGATGTAATACAGAGTGACGTCACTAAGAGATCGTCGACAGACGAATACAACACTCGACCGGTGTGGGAGAGGGACTCAACCATTTCCTCTTGTGAAACAATTTGTCGAGGTCGAGCCTTTTTGACGAAAACTGTCTTTTTATCCAGTTTCAAAACAATCGTACTTTTGTTTAAAAACCTTTTATTTGAAACGCAAATCTTCTCTTTGAACACAATCGTCCTTACGATTTGAAAAATTACTTCAATAACTTGATGATATTATTTTAACATTATTTTAAATAAGAAAAAACAATTAGTACATTTGTAAGCAAACTAACATTTTTCATTAACACTTATTCTCAATGCAATACACAAAAGCTACAATAATCAGATATTTTATCGTAACATAATTAAGCTGACAAGTAATCGGATAAATAATGTTCATCTATCAGTCTTTTGAAGGAATTGAATGTTTCGTTGGTTAAATAGAACGGCAGTCCTGCAAGCGAGTGTCCTGCACTGTAAAGGAACTCACATCGACCCCGTCGAATGCGCTCGCTTCGTTACAGCGTCAAGAATCGAAGGAGTATGAGCAGTCGGACGCGCACGCCGCGCGCCGGAGACGGACTGGGGCGAAACTGGCAAGTGTTCGTATTTTCGTAAGCCAAATATCTCAACAGACTCAAACAGAGAGCTTGAATACTCCAAGTTTATTTAGTGAGCTCCAGTGAGATCGCGTCGTCGTCGGCTGACCTCGGCGTTTTATGTTAGTACTGGCTACACGACCAGCGATGACCGGACCTGAAACATCTTGAGATGTGAGGTTATGGCTTCAATTGTATGTTTGTTCAAACCGGAGTTTCGGTGGCCATGGGGAGAAAATCGCACAACCATCTTAAGGATCCTGCTGCGGCAAACATCTGCTGACTAGCTCCGCATCGTCTAGGGATGGAGCGTTGCCAATACACGGATGAGAGCGACGTAGAGCAAAGAGTCTTTCGCAATGCAGCATTGAGTCCGACCGCCGCCATCCCTTCGTCGTGCTTTATATGACGCTGCGTGCACAATTTACAATGAAAGCTTTGAGGGATAAAAGGTGGTTAAGTTATATGTTATTTAGATTTGTTGTTTATTTGTCTGTTTAGCTAATTAGACATAGTTAAATAGAATCCGGTGGTGTTTTGAGTAGAAACTGTGACCAATCGAGGAGCTAACCTACTGGCCCAGTTGACTCGATTCACGGTTATATTTAATAATTGGCAATAAGTTTGTAAGTCAAGGCGTTCTCTGTACTGCAACGCAAAACAATGTATAAATATATGTAGACACGTATACCACGTATATTAGACGCACAACAATTACTTTATGACATAAAACAAACACTGGGGTTATTTATTAGGCGCGTTTCAATCAAAATATACAGCTACAATAGTTAGATATGTCGGATTCCGCCACACATAAGGAATGTTTAATGTTCGCAGCAACATGAGACTGGGAATTAAATTCTATGATTTTAACAATCACCGTATATTCAATCTGCTCCAAAATATTATATTATTCATCGCTAAAACCATCAAATTTATGATAATGATTATGAGTTTGTTATTATTCAGAGTAAATCGTAATCCCTGTTTTTCCGACTGTAAACATTGGCTGAGGGCAGTCCTCGCGCCCAGTCGTGTCCAGTAGCGTCGAGTCGCGTTCAGTCGCCTCTACTTATAGCTCGGTCCCGTGGCGACCGGACACAGATTCCGTGCACAGCTGCAGAGTTCAGTTCGCCGCAGCGCTGGGAAACTCCGCGGGAAATCCGGGGTGAGTGTTAGGATGTGCGGGGCGCGGTGAGGGGCGCGGCGCGGCGGGGAGGGAGGCGAGTACTCGGCGGCGGCGAGCGCGCTCAGCCTCATTCCGAGTAGCGCGCTCACGACGGTCACACGCGCCCACGTGCCTGCCGCCCTCCACGGTAACGTACCGCGCCCACCCACCGGCAGATGTCACTATCGGCGCTCGGACACTAACACTACACGAGCGCGCGAAACTCAGCTCCTCCGTAACTTTAATTACAACGTAACTACAATCGCGACGCCGATACAGTTCGCTTCAGTGTCGCCTTCGACTGGTGTCCGCTCTCTAGGTGTGTGTAATTATTGTCGTTCAGTATTCTCTGTGATATAATACGATATATTCGCGATAGTTTGATGACGTGCTGACCGGGACATGTGACGCACGAAGCGACCAGCTTCCTATAGACGCTTGTTCGTTATCAACATTATTAGAATCACGCCTTAGTTGTTCAAAATTTGACCTTTACCGACCCCGATGTGACATCTGCTGTACCCATACGCACACGCACATACACACACTCATAATATTACAACTGAATATTTTATTGAACGCACTCTCTGTGCACTAATGTACATTTTTATTATATGTATTTTTAAAGATGTTTAGTTCCTGTGTGCTCCCTTCGTCCGTCGCTACGTATCCGTGCACGTGCACACACACACACGCACGCCTTATGTTAAAGCTCAAATGTATCTTTGTTCATACTAGGTATATCCTATTTGTCGATAGAGTCACTGAGGACATTTCACTTTGCTTTCAAGTGATAACGTCTACAGTATAATAGTATTATGTATTAATAATTTTCATTTAAAGGAATGCGTTGAATTTGAATTTGAATTGAACTTTTAATTTATTGTATTTCTGAACATATTAAATTATGTATAGTACATACAGTACAGTATATATACATACATATGTATATATCGAGGAGTAAAAGACTATTGGGTTTAAGCGACATTTTTTTAACTTTACAAGAGAGCCATTTAAAGTTTAAATTTTGGGAAAACTTTCATAAGAAAAAAACTTTTACAGCTATTTGAATGGAGTATGTAAACTTAATTAAAGTTCAAATTAAAAACATCGAACTGTTGATGCTGACGTCAAATAAAACGGACCTTTAATTACAAAGATAAATGTCGCGTATTAAGCGAAGTGTCGCTTAAACCAAATATCGTGTCACCTCTCGATATAGCGTATATAGCGTAACTACCATTACGTAATAGCACTACAAACTCACTAAACTCCATTCGATTAAGATATGTAGTTCTATTTGACATTTAGTTTTGACGCTGTTCTATATTCAGTTCACGGCAAGTGACAGATCTCGAACTGAACTTGTGGTCAAGGCTGTCACCTGACCGCACCGCGCCGAGCCGCCCCCGCCCCCGCCCCCGCCCCCCTTCACCCCCCCCATCAGCCGAACTCAGCCGAAATACTATTTATTGATCAGCATGACAAATTTAGATTATGCACAGCACGACATTGAGAAATGAAAGCGATAAACTTAATTGTTTTCCAAACACTAATATTTATGCTATTTTCCATAACACCTTGTTATTAAAAAAAATTCCATAATTGAGATACTGGAAATAAAATACCGGACCGGACAGCAATGCCCGTTTAATAAAATGAATACAGGCGGAGGGGTGTGAAGGAGTGCTTCGGGCGCGAACGTTGATTTGTTCAATTCGTTAGTGACGTATTCTTTAGTTTCCGAGCGTGATCACGCGCGGCGGTATCCAACAGCGAACCTACATTCGGTTAACATTACTGGCTGAATGTTGACTTGTACAATTATCCAGTACAAGTGTCGTAGTGTGACGTCATCGTTGACGTTAACCTTCAAAATAATGATATCTCTTTCAATAATGATTATCTGCTTTGGATACACTAAAACCTTAAAACGTCAACATTGCTATCCATGGTGCATGCCGCCACGGACACGCGAAGGGCCGTCGGTGACAGTACGTCGCTCGCAGGTGGCACGCACTCCGCTAGCCTCCAGTCGATGTCTACTCACACACTATTATGACTTACAATCATTTCACTTGATACGTGCGTAGTGTTCTCAGTTAATGAATCCAAACATAGCTCCGGGTGTACTCGTACTGCGGTGTAATATACTAGGTACAGTCCATATCTGTTACTGCTTCGTATGCAGGCCCCGCGCACCCTCCCTCGATCGAAACTCGGACCTAACGCCGGATTCACGTCGCGCCGACAACGTCAGGAACTTCAATGAATCGTATGACGTGCGCTAATTAACACATGCAACACATACAATACATGTGACATGATATGACAGGAATGTGTGAGTTGTAGAAGAGAGTCCCGGCACTATGTTGCTGCCGTGCTGTATGAGCCACGTGTAGCGTGTTTGTCCGCTCATGAGTGTTGGCTTGTCCAGTATACCTGAGTTGTGGATGTGGCAGTACAGAACACCGTCAGAGTTCGCAACAACCCAGGTGCCGTGTACGGTGGACATGCACGTGTTCGGACGCGGGCCAGGCTAGACGTGACCCGGTTCTGTTTCTGCTTCCTCGTCACGGCTCAATAAAGTCCTCGTCCTTCGCGAGATTACTTCATCACACGTTAAGATGAAGTGGAACACGCCGCAGCACTCACATAATCAAGATCGGTCATGATTATTTCAAGACCACAAATTTTCATTATCGTCTACTGAATCAAATGAATAGTCCCAAGTCGAGTGCACGTTCTGAAAGTACAAAGTAGTAGCTGAATGTACTTGTTAGTGTGCACTTCGCTCGCTATGTAAATCATAATTACACCAAAAACCTATTTGTCTTCAAATTCAAACAGGTACTGTAGTATCGTATACTTGTGCCACCCTTTCATAAACATGCCCTAAAATACACTAATTTAATGTCAGCATACAAAATCCATTTCTGTATTAAATGTAAAACTATGTTATTAAATTAAAACGCGTTATTTGTGCAAGAGATGGCTTCTTGCGACAGAGTAATATGTAAACGAAATTATTTGTACATTAGCAATTAAAATAAAATATAGTAGACAGTAAATTTCAGCAGTACATGTAGTAGGGTCGGGCGCCCTCGGCTGTGACCGACTAGACGCATGCAATCAACATTTCCATGAAGTCTTGTGCAAAAACGTGTTGAGTTGCGGGTGTGCTGCGCGGACGGGGCGGTCAGTCCGGGCGCGCGCCTGCTGAACGAACCACACGAATTACACAAAGCGTTCATAAAGGTGTTGTGGTGAAATGATCACTTCACTACGAGAACCATCTGATTCATAATGAAAATTATAAATATTTAATAAAATTATTGACATAAATTTAAGTTGAAGTCGTATAAAGAGTTGTTCACAAAGCTGTCGGTGGTGGTGTTGAGAGGTTTTCGCAAGAGCTGGTCGGCGCTCGGCAGGCGGGTCGTTGACCCCGCGACCTCGGGGGGAAAGTCTCGATAACCGTCCGCGTTGGTCCAATGTTTGTCAACGTTCGACCAAACCCGTGCTCGTAGTTGCACAAGTATCTGAGCCAACGTGTGAGCCAACCGCCCATCTCATAGTCTCCCTCATTCTGCTCACCCGAGTTAACCGGCCACATTGACTAACGCGGAAATCATGTTTGATGCACTTCCCGAAACTTCAAGTAACTTGACGAAAATAAAGCGTCATATTATTATGAACTTTCTGGTGTGAATTTAACTAAACAAGTTAATGTTCATACAACTAGCAGACTTATTAACGGATACTGTACAAGGGTGGGTCCAGCTCAATTAAATCATCACTGACAGTTAGTAGAGCGTGGTTAGGGCGGCGCGGCGCATGCCTGCACCGCCGAGAACACACGACAGTGTGTCGGCTTCATATGTCAGTGTGTCGGGGTCATGCCAACTTTAAATGTGAGTGTTTCCTTAACGGCTCGTGTTCTGTATCTGACCGGGTACTGACATCGCTGCTGTACGAAATACTTACAAGCGGGGCACGGCTACAAACGGTCCTAATAAAGACTTAAACGCGCACACTTAGCTTTGCGCCAAAACCTCGTAGTGACTGATTTTATCGAGAATCTCAGTCATGAAAGGTCTCCGTCCTATTAAACAGCTGCCGAAGAGTAAGGCGTCTAAAAATAAGGATCCTGGAGAATTAATGATATAACATTACCTCCATCTATAAAAGCTTCCCTTTAAAGTACTATAATATTACATACAGTACGCATTGAGGCGGGATCTTCCAGGAAGCTCAGTTCTGCGCGGGTACTGGGGCTCGTCCACGCGTCGTTGAGTGTGTACATATAAACAACAAGTGCGACATAATGTCAATATGTGTATTTAGTTGAGTTGAATGCTGTTTGCATACTACGTGCTAACCAACAAACAAAACAATCCCGCCGCTGGTCTCTGTGTACATGGCTGGCACGGACCAGGCGGGGCTGGGAGTGCTCCTCCCGCACAGAGCACGCCGCTCGTGAGGCCGCGCGGGGTCACGTGCACGCGGGACCTCACTGACACGTCACTCAACTGCATACTGCACATATGCCACTATGAACATATATATATCTACAGTCTCTTTGGCATGAACGATGAACATGTCAATAGCGACGTCAATGTGAATAACCAATATAAGCCAAAGAGAATTTAAAACTCTCCTTAATATAGTGGATTGGATGGTGACGATCCGCGCTGGCACCGAGCGAGTGCGCGTGCAGCCTCCGCGCTACACCCTCCGCGTCATCTCACGATCCTCACTTCACCAGCACGTTACGCTGCAAACTTCGGTTCCTCATTTCTATTTGAGATTATTAATGTTCAGGGTAGTCGGTCACGTCTCTCTCTCTCTCTTCCACCGAGCACCGCTACAGTCCGCCCGGTCCGGTCCGGTCCGGTCCGCCCGCGACCTTCGAGTTAATGTGACAGCACGTGTCGCTACTTAAACATAAATGTAATTAATTAGATTGACGTAGAGGTTGCGGACGCGGCCTTGTACATATTTCGTATGCATATAGAACCTTACATTCTTTATTATTTCATATTAAACTAGCTGGTTAATTAAATAAATATAAAGTAGTTATATTAGGTATTCAATTGCTTCACCGTGTATATCGTAACTCAGTATGTGATATTTGAACGCGGAAAT